AGGACGAGCGGCGGTGGCGGAAGAGTGGATGGGGAGGAGGAGATCCAGGCAGCGGGGAGGGAGATGCGCGAGTTGACCGAGGAGTTGTCAAATAGGTTGGTTCAGGCAAAGGGGGATAATTCGGCGTCGTATGTGGTGCTGGAACGGGAGTCGGCTGCGGTGAGGTTCTTGGTCCGGAGCAAGGTTGCGCAGTTTCACCCCAAGGATGCGAACAGGCTGCGGCTGATTGACTTTGGAAGAGACTTGGAAAACTGATTAGACTGGTATTTCTACAGGTAAATATTCACAACACAAACGCTTCTATCGCCATTACCGGAGCGCGTGCGTGCCCAGATGAATGCGGATGACATCGCAACAACAAAAACGATCAAGCTTCTTGTGCCCCCAAGTGTACGACCATGTACCCCAAAAACACAATACATCAGCTACATCACCTGTTCCTCTGCTATACCCTCTTTCGTTTCGTCTACATGTGACATCAACCGTTCACCACAGATTAAATTCGGCAGTCTCTGGCTCCTTTGCGCCATTCCCTCCAACCTTTTTCTCCGCCCATTCCCGTGCCCGCTTACGCTCATCAGGGAAATCCTCCAGTCGAGAGAAGGCCAAATCCAATTTCCTGTCGCTGACGGTGAAATGTTCCGGCACATTACCCAAATTCTCGAGTTCGTAGTACACGTAACAGCTCTCCCACCAGGCGTCGCCTCGGATAAGATGTCTCAACTGACAGCCTGGGCAGATTTGCATAGTCAGAGCGCCGTTCGATTGGTCCTTCTTCTTGGACTTGGAGTATTTCTCTGCAGGCGGGTGATCTGAACCACCGTTCTTGGACCTGGAGGGTTTCTCGTTGAACGTAGCCTCCCTATCGGCCATTTTGAATTTGGACTGTTGCTCGTCGGCGACAGCTGCGTCTTCCTTGGCCTTCGTTGCCTTCTTGGACGGTTTTGACGAGTCAAATCCATTCTGTTTGGCTGTTTGATTTTGAACAAGGGGGTTCCACGACTCGTCCTCCACGGAGATCGGTGGCTCCGGTTCCCCGAACGTTGTGCTACCGGAAACGGAGGCCGGAGTGGGTGTGGCACCAGACAGGTCCTTAAGATAGGGCTTGTTATCCGGTATGCGCATCTTGTACTTGAATTCTTCGACGATGTCAAGCAGCGTGCCGAAGGCCCGTCCAGGGGCCCCATCAAACTTGCGAGACCACGAATCTACAAACGGTTTATCAATCGTCTGTAAAGACCTGATCAGGTCCTTGACCGCAGTAGCCTCGTCAAACGTTGACGCTTTGAGGCGATGCAGTTGGACGGCGGCCAAGGCAATAGCCTCGATAAATTCTTGCTTGTCATCCGTAGGCTGAGCTTTCAATTTGATGTCAAATTGTCGTTGAGCAATCGGCGCCATTTCTTCATCCGAGGGAGGGTGGATTCTCGATCTCAGACACAGGATCATATCTCGGGGCTCCTCTGCTCCATCTAGTCTCAGGTACGCACGGTATCTCTCAGGAATGCTTCTGTAAATGATTCCGTACAGCTTTTGAAGATCGTCCTTGGCAGCCGTGTAACCAGCAAGGTCGCTTAGGTATTTAGCAGTGTCCATGCGGTACTGTTCATACAAGACATCGTATTCTCGTATAGAGAGAGTGTGGGCATGCCTCTCCTGCTCAACACGCAAATCGTACACCTTGTCCGTCTCGTATTGCTCTCTTGCCGGTAGCTCTTTTAACTTGGGCCGTTTCGGGATGGTAGGCTTGATGGGTTCGCTCAGATGGTGGTCTTTGCCGTCGGGATCGACATATTTCCAGATATTCAAGGCCCTTGAGATGGCGGTGACATCGTCAAACCAGGCTGGCCAGTCCATACGATCTCCGAGGAATGCGATGGACTCGAAGGGTCCCTCTGATATCGGAATTGTGAGGGCCATTGCAGCGGGTACGCAAATCAATCGCACTTGTCTACTCACAAGCGAAGGTTGATGTGCCTTGACAATTTGAAAATCTGTATCGTCAAGCTGGACTGGGCCTGTGGATAACTTGGGAGACTTTTTTTAAAAAAAAAAACATTGGGAGGCAAAAGGCACTAGTACCAGGCAGTTCACCAGGTCAGGTACCTCACTATTGCGTTTGGTGCTTTAAAACACTACGGTATGTTAGTGTATACCTAGAACTTAATGGGCAAAATATTCTGCCAAACTCTACACCTTGACCAGGGATGTTTTAGGGGCAGCGGACTATGGACCCACTTACTATGCATCTGGTGCTGCACAAGACTGTGTTCCTGGGACCCAGTCACCAGTGCCCATTGATACTAGCCACCGCCCGCGCTTCCCAGTTACAGCGCCGGACCGTAGCGGCTAGTGCTATCATTGGCCAATTCCCCTCACTGAAGCTGGCTGGGTTGGGTTTCGTCTGCCGGTTCAATGTTGACTCTGTCTGGTCAATTTGACCTGTCAGCGGGGCCGGCACTCGATGTCGCGCGTCGTCCTAACAAAGTCGCGTCTCCCTCGCTTCCCAAACCCCACGCCCTTGACCAGAGAGCCCAGCCAACATGCGCGACACACCTGAAAAGCCCATCAAATACCGACCATCCTCCTTCTCTTAGATATTTCACCCTACCAAGGCCCATCCCCCAACATCCGATTCATCTTCCCCTTTGCACCTCTTCCACCCACAATGTCTGCCGCCCCCGAATCCGTCTCCGCCACAACCACCTCGCCGCCGGCCAAGCGCGTCAAGACCGATCTCACCACCATGGAGGCCCCTCCCGCATTGCAAGTCAAGAAGCTCTCCGACAAGGCTCGCCTGCCTACTCGCGGCAGTGCCTTTGCCGCCGGCTACGACATCTACGCTTCCAAGGATGCCGTCGTCCCTGCGAGGGGCAAGGTCCTCGTCGATACAGACATTAGCATCGCCGTGCCCGCTGGAACTTGTAAGCCCACCATTCATTCTGGACAAAGTGGCCCCAAAACATCCTTGAAAGCTAATTTGATCCTGGTGACAGATGGCCGTATCGCCCCCCGTTCAGGACTGGCATCCAAGCACTTCATTGACACCGGCGCCGGCGTCATCGACGCCGACTACAGGGGCCAAGTCAAGGTGCTGCTGTTCAACCACGCCGAGACCGACTTTGAGATCAAGGAGGGTGATCGTATTGCCCAGCTGGTCATTGAGCGGATTTATACCCCGGAGGTTGTGGAGGTGCAGGAGTTGGAAGAGAGTGTTCGCGGAACCGGTGGTTTCGGCAGCACTGGTGGATTCGCCAATGGCACTGCTGCTTGAAAATGGAAGACTTTCGAGGAAGCGATCGATGGCGCGCAGGAGACGAGGCTGAAAGCTGAAATGAAGAAGTGCCTCTGGCAGCCCATCTACCATGATAATGTATGATGATTATTTTCCTTGGTGTTTAAAACTAAGCTCATAGAGAGCTTCAACTAGAGTCAAGAATCTGCAATAAAACACTGAATCCTGACGGGATGAATGTGTAAATTATATCATGGCTGGATGCATACGCGAATCTATGTCTCTCCTTCCCTCTCTCACTTGACTTTACACCCAACTCTAAATTTGCTGTGCTTTAAACTCTACTCCAGGACTCCTCAAACAATCCAAGTTCTGCACCAACTGCAACTCCGAAGCCTTGGACTTAATTTGCTGCTCGCCCTTTCTACTGACCCTTTCCTCCGCTGTCAACCGCGCTCTCGTCCTTTCAATTACACCCGGCATAGCATCTCTCGTCTTGGTCAACACTTCATGCATGCTGGCTAATACCTTTTCTGCGGCTCGCGCCAGCGGCAAATGTGCAGCAGACACAGTATCGTCACTTAGCCAGTTTGCGCGATTGATGAGCCCCGGAACGGATTCAACGGCCTCGCGCATCCGAGCCGTTACGAGAGCACCAAACATATCGCCCGTGCCGCAGAAGTAGCAATCAATCGAAGGGAAGGTAATTTTGAACAGGCGTGCCTTTCCGACTGATGTCATACTGGAGCCGATGACGGATAAGTGCGAGGGCGGTTGATCTGGTGGTGAGAAGTTGACGGATGTGATGATGACGTGGGGGATGCGGTACTTGTCATGGAGGGCTTGGATAGCTGTGTTGAGAGATTCCATATCAACAATTTTGACTTCTGAAAGAAGTCTACGAGCACCATGTTAGCAAAGCGTTGATCATAGTCAATGATTTTGAAGTTAAAGCATACTCAGCCTCAAACTGGTTCGGTAGAATCAAGTCCGCATGCTCGATCAGCTCCTTGTAGGCGGGAACAACATCCTCGGCGACGTAAATTTTGCCATTATCGCCCATTACCGGGTCAAGAACCCAGAAGAAGTTCCCTGGCGCTCCCTTGTTCTTGTTCTTGAGCTCCTTGGCGATGTTCCCCACCGAGGCTACGGCCTCCGCTCCGGGTATGTATCCCGACAACATCATGTCGAAGTCGTCTAGATAAGACTGGCGCAAACCATCGTACAAGTCTGTGATTTCTTGGGCAGACACTTTTGTGCCCGTCCACTTCCGATACCCCGTGTGGTTGCCTGCACGACATTAGCAAACCGATGATGAAACGACGGGCGTGAGATGGTATGTACTGAATTGAACGGTGTTTAGGGCGGCAACGTCGTAGCCGAGCGACTGAAGAGTGAAGACGGCGATTTTGTTTCCGACATAGCTAAACGAGAATATCAGCAGACTTTCTCTTCCATTGCCGCCGTTGGTGATGCACGCGGCAAGAAAGTCAGCCAACTCTGCCATCACCTACCCAGATACCACCTAGTGACTAGTGAGCAGGTCATTTCCAAGCCAAAGTAAGATTCAGGGACGAAAACATACATGGCTCGCAACGGCGAGAACCCGCGGGGCCGGCGCAGGTGCTGAGGCCGTCATACTCCCAGATCCAAGTGTGAATTTGCAACTGCGAACTGCTGAGGCCCTGAGACGCAGTGTCTGGTTGCTCCGATGACGGTTATACAAGAGCGGCAGAGGCTGCTTACGCTGAGCGACCCGCCGGTAACCTGAGGTGCCCCACCAAATGAAAGACGCGAGAGGGGTTGAATTGAAGTTGTTCAGGAACCACAACCGTTTTTTTGTCCCGGCTTCTGAAGTGTTTACTAGTGCCTCTCGAAGCAAAAGGCGCACATCCGACAATGGACTTGCCCCAGATCCATTTTGTCATGTGCTGAAAAGTGGGCACTAGGAAGGAGCGCGCTAGACATGGGAGCCGCCGCGGGCGTCTGCCGTTGCCTTTAACTTGGGTAACCATGCTCAACAACGTGGCGTTTGTACATGAATAGTTAAAGGGACAGCAAAGAGAGAAATGTGCGCATGTCGTAGGGTATCCACGTTCGAGCCTGAACCACACCTCGTGACGCCCCTCAAAATACCTACCTACCTACCTAGGTACTTAAGTAGGTACCTAGATAACTTAGTTAGGTAATTGTACCAGACCTACACACGGTACCTGTGCCTGCTAGAGTGCTATGTAACTCGTACGCCGTGAGATCGATTCTCTTGACAGCGGAATGCTATTATTGAGCTGCACATGTTACTTACTTGCTCAGGCACCTTAACACTTCCTGATCAGTCAAATCGTAATCGCCATTATAAGTCATCTATCATAACACTCGTACATATATGCAATGCTCAAGTCCAAAATGTGTGGCCAGGCGGCCTCTCCGAGTAATGCTACAAACGCCATGCATGCCATGAAATAAGCAAAATCTCAACCAAATAGCCCTACATCTTCTCCAAATCGTCTTCTGAAACAGTTGAAACAAAGGCAAAGTTGAGCCAGTGCAGCCAAGTCTTGTTCTTCTCCTTGTTCCTGTTCCTGTTCTTGTTTTTCTTCTTTTTCTTCTTATCTGCGTCTACGTCACCACCACCACCACCACCACCACCTTCTGCAATCTCTTTGGTTTTGCTGCGCTGGCCCATGCGGTATGCCAGATGCAGATAACTTCGGACGGTCAAGTCCTTGAGTTTGAACTGTTGATCATCAAATGTGCTGTACTCGACCTCGAATTGGAAGTTGCGTGGTTGGGCTGGCTTGTGCTTTGGTTTCTTGTCACCGTGGTTGCCATCATGCCATTTAAATCTTTCGACGCCGTCCAAACCAGGTTGATCATTGTTGATGTGAGTGAGGTTGGCAAAGTATTGAGTGTATCCTGTCAAGGTAAACTGCTGTGGGTAATAGGCTGGCCCAGGTAGCGCTGCTTTTGGAGGATCGTCTGGGATGATCAAGTTTGGATCCTTGGGCTTTTGTTTCCCCTTCTTTCCTTTCTTCCCCTTCTTCCCCTTCTTTTTCTTTTCAATGCTAATGGATCGCAGCTCCAAATTTTCAGTTGATTGCACTTTCTCCATTGCATTCTTTTCTTTCCAAACAGTGGCATTTTCCAGCCCAGTCACATTGTATTCGAATACTCGCATGGATGGAAAGTAATTGGGTACCACACTTGGACTGATAAAGGAAAGCTGATATCGTTCGGCATACTTTCCTCCAATCTTCTTGAAGCCCTTCTTTTTCTTTTTCTTTTTCTTCTCAGCATCGACCTCGGAGGGGTCATCCTCTTCATTAAGCATCTCAATGGCAGAACCAGGAATGTCGCCCCAAATTTCCCGCAGCTCTTGGAGGTAGTCCTCTTTACCTCGGGCGGAAAATTCGGACTCGTTGATCGACTTTCGCATGACGCTGCGTGCGGCAGGACTCTGACCCGCTGCCACATCCAAGTCGATTTCCTTGGTGTCGCTCAAAAGGAAATGATCAATATTCATGTGGCCAAATAGCGAGGCGACAACCACGTCACGGTACTTTTGAAGCCATAGGGTATATCGCTGCCAGCAAGTTTCATCCCAATTCTTCTTGCTGTCGGTTCTTGCGGGTGGGACGTGACCCATAAGAATGGCCTTCGCGCCTGTCTGTCGCATGAGATCCAATTGCACCCGAAGCCATTCCATATGCTTGTACCCGGGCTCGGACGGTAGCGCGCAACCATCCACAGCAGCATTACGGTCAAAAAAGTACATTGTGTTGAGACTAAAAACTGTAAGTTTTCCAGGGATGACGTCGACATGGAACCAGCCGCCGAATTGGAAAGAATGGCGCTGTTCCTCTGGGATGAATCGATCCCAAATCTCCCCATAAGCCGCGAACCAGTGATTAGGGCCGGGATACATAATGTTGTGAGGAAGAAAATCATTGTTTCCAAATGTCGGTATTATGGGAACCTCAAGCTTCCCCTCGGGTGAGCTGAAAGTCTTGATGATTTTATCAGTAACGGCTTTATTGCTATCGAGGACAGTCTTATCGGTTCGCGGATGCGCTTCATCGCTGTCGTGTCGCGCCGAGTCGCCTGTCCATATTACAAAATCAATGTCGTCCTTGACATTCTCTTCTATCCATTTCAAGGTAGCGTCCACGAGGGAAAATGGCGAGTCGCAATCCGTTTTTTCTGCTCCATACGTCCCAGCCATGCCATTGCCGCGATGGCACGCGATACCGTCTTCGGTTGACGTGTGAGGCTTGTAAAACTCATCAGGGTGGAAATCTGAATGGTTTTCTTGTGAGTACATGCTGGTCGCCAGGAAAGGCAAAAGAGTGGGATGGGACGGGAGCGAACCTGTGATATGCAGGAACCGACCATGTAGCTTGCGTGATTGTAACTCTTGATGCAGCTGCGACTCATATTGCAGGGCCTTTTGGGGCAAGTCGCCCAAAATTGGCGACGAGATGACGCCACAGCTCAGTGCCAGAAATGTCTGAGCTTGCAGCCAAAAGGCTGGACAAGGCATGGTGGCGCCTAGGTACGGGGTATCAAAACGAGGCTTACGAGGAAGAAGAAGAAAAAAAAGAGCGTCCTGAGATCTAGAGCCTAGTACAGCGCATAAGAATTTATGGGAGCGGTTCGAGAAGACTGCTATCGACTGAATTTATAACATTGACGGTTGCGAATAGTTGACTGTCCGGTAGCAATGTTAAGATGGCGTAGAGTGGTCATGCGAATGAACCGGGGAATCTTGGTAGAGACGGTTCAGTGTGAGTCGCCTCGGCCCTCCAAAACCGAGCGCCTGATCCTGTGGTTCGACGAGAGCCAAGGGGCGGGTGGTCGCGTCGGTTGTGGACAGAAAATTCATCCAGCCGGACGAGTCCGCCTTCTGACGTTGTATTCGTTCGGGTGACGTAAAAATGGGCTGCAGGTCCCAAAGATCAGTGGGTGCCCCAGCAGAATGCGGTTGCACAAATGAAGGGCAAAAGTCTGAGGGAGTACAGTAGAATGGTGAAGTTAAAGGGAAGACGAGAGTTGCAAGGTGTAGAGCGCAAAGAAAACTATCCGGTGTGAGATGAAAGAAGAGAATTGACAGGTTCACTCGGACTCATGAGTCGTTAGCAAGCCAGCAAGAGGATCTGGGGCAAGTGCATCCGGTGCACTTTCCACTTCCACCTTCGCCCTAGTAAATTTCAAAACTCCAAAGCCCAAAGCACCAATCTATCCCAAACCTGACCCCGGCAACACGATCAAGCCATTGTTAGAGCTCCTCATGCTCCTCATGCTCCTCACTCTGACTGCAACTACACTCTTCTCAGGACCCAATCCAAACAGTGATTGGTATATTCGGTACTCCGCACAAATGGCGAGTGTCTATTCAGCTAGTCCATGTCACCATCACGGGCCGCCCGCCGATCTGGATTGGGCCAATGTTCATGCATCGCCGCCAACACGTGCGCCAGTGACACGGCGTCGAGTTGTCAACCGGTGCAACTGCCACCAGACAATGCCCACACCGACCGCCTCGGCGACTGCGACAGCGCCACCGCGAATAAGAGGGCATGGAAGGGCACGCGACCTCGTTTATGGCCCTCGGGCTCACCAGACGTTTCCACACCATCACCGCAGGCATGGCATCCGCCTCGGACTTCAACGGATTTCGACACCTTGATGGACTACAATGTGTCATCCTTGGCCCCCTCTGTGGCAGTGAAATGCCGGTGGGTTGGCGGCTCGCCTGATCATGCGCGTCTGCTCAAGTGGCAGATGACAACACTATAATACGGTGTGTTTAAGCATATGATTTACTTGGCCAAGTTTCTACTAGCGTGTTGACAGCATCTATTTTGCAACTCAACAAAGGTACAAAGATGGGCCGCAGTCTTACGTTTCCCGCGGTAAAAGCGCTTGCTTCGATTCGAGTTTCGGACCCGTATTTCGGCCATCCCATTTCACACTCCGACGTCTAGTGGGTAGCTGTCTACCGCTCCTACGCCCCGCCATGGACAAGGCTCGGCGTTGAATAGTTTCGTAACGATATCCAAGTCGCCGTGAGGCTCGGGGCTCTTCCCGATGTTCCCGTACTTGAAGACCTGGCCCCGCATATCTTATAACACCCTGTGGCATGTCATCACTCACTCTTTGGATTGTCCGCCTTGCTGCGATTAAGGGTTCGTATTGTCTGCGGAGAGTGCAGAAACGTGGGTATTAAATCGTCTTGATGGTTGAGTATCAGTCCTGTCGTTCACTCGCGAGAGGGATTATACATTTTGCAGCTTGTAAAGTCCCAACGTGCCCTCGCGATCCTCTTCCGGACCCCGGTGCTGATATTGGGACTATGGGGCGGTACGCCTCCAAGTAGTCTGCCCCAATATTATCACAGAGGAGCATCCAGTAGCCAACTCGTCTATTGGAACTAAGCATATGACATTGGTATTCGATTTCAGTGAATGGCGTCTTACATTCATTGTGAGGAAAGAAACAGCAAGCACCCAACACAACCGAACTGGTCTATCATAGGCATTTTGTCACCCAGTTCAAGATGGTCTGCTATGAAGTGTACATCTGGCGTAGAGACCAGTGATCCGAAGCCACTTGGAGCAGGAACCAAAACGGGCAAATGAAGCGAATAGCCTGGGCAGATTTATACCGGCTCCTAACCATGCGTCTCCCTCGCTCTTGTATAAGGACTTTGCTGAAAAACGATCTTTCAGTCCCTCCCTTCAGCCAGGTCAACAACGATCCTGCTTGTAGTGCCCCAGAAGCCCACCCCATGAGGCTCGACAGAAACTTCTCGAAATCCCCGCAGCAGCCCTGAATGAGCCCTGAATGCGAGGCATTCATATTCATAAATTTCAATATCTTATTTCTCCGAGACAGGAGGGTCCATTCTTAGATCTATGACGTAGCATTGTTCGGCATGCGTGCGACAGATATCAGTACCCGTTTGTCCCGGAAGCTCATCGAATATCCCGTTGACGAATATGATTATTCTTAAAGGCAACCAGCACATCTCCGGCGCAAAACCGGGGTAGGCGCTGGCGGAGACTGCCAGTCTCAGTGCTGCTCCAAAGCATATTCCAATATTCAATTAGTCTTGATGATCAGGAGGCTCAATCATAGGATGAGTCAAAACCCAAATGAGCCACAACGTGTGACGGATAAAAGCTAGATTTCAGTTGTGCTCATAAATATGTAAAGTTGGGCAATACATGTGATGAGACAGCAAGATGGCAGGAATGAATGGTGAAGATGACAACAGGATTCGCTTTCTCGTCCCAACGTATCAAATGAATCTAACGGCACGCTTCATCTAAATATAAATCCTAAACATAAAATATGAAAATGAACTACTATGAGTTGATTTCGTTCCGCAACCGAGCCATTGCTCGGTGCGAGAAATCGAGTGGGATCTGTCGCGTGGCCCCCTCCGTTGCAGTTCTCCCGCCTTCTTGGTCTTTTTGTTTTATTTCTAGTCAGTTCTACAACTCTCCCTCTATTGCCTTTCAAAAAATCACATTCATTCCAGGTTCGATACACAAGAGACAAAGCATGCTGGCAAGACCTCAACCCTTCCCTCGCACACGACAGCTTGCTCCCTATGCCACAACCTAGTTGACCACTGCAACAAAACTCATCATCATGACCACGCTAAGAGATATTCCCAATCTTTCGGATGCGAGCTATGACGTAATTAACATCGAGTGTATCAATGACCGTGAGGCCATTAGTCGCGATGAGGCGTTGGATGTTTGCGGTCGACGACTTTCCTCGAAGACGTGGTGAAGGACACCATGAGGGCCAAGGACTGGCAGCTCAGTGTCCAGCCATTGAGACATTCAAAATATACTCCTTCATATCCTCTGTTATCCGTACCTCAATTCCAGCTTCCTGCAGCCGTTTCATTCCATCATTGCAGCGAACAAATGTACTAGGCTGGCGAATGCCTACGTACACGGAACGTATAACGCCCTTGAGCTTCAAGATTCGCTCGACACACGTGGTATTCCCGCTCAACCTATGACTGCAAGGCTCCATAGTCGTGTAGAGCACAGTTCTTGCAGGCAGGACGTGGCGGATATGGTCCTCGGCATGGGCCGGTGGCAGGTTGTGTGCTAGGGCAACTTTGATGAAGCAGCATTGCTCGGCGTGCGTATTGCCCTGGTCGCCTACTGGGCTAGGAAGCTCCATGGAATAGCCCGCCGAGAGAATTCGATTTACCTGGGAATCAACCAGTACGGCGCCAACGCAAAACTCGGCATGGGCCGCTGGGGATAGACGGGCCTGCTTCAGAGCGTATTCCATGAAGCTGTGGTGGTCGTTTCTCTCAATCACAGGATGGACTGTAGCTGTGTTTGATGTTTGGGCCATTACGTCTTTGTGGAAATAAAAAGTGACAGCCTCAGCCGCGTGGATGCGTCCAAGACGGTGATGGCCACTGAAGCCGTGGAGGTTGCGTTGCGTCCAGATCAAGAGGATGGTGAAACGAATAGCCAGGACATTTTGATCATCATACATGGACATTTTACAAATCCGCAATTTCTTGGGAAAATCCCCTTGGCCCTTGCGTACAACACAGACCGTCAACAAAGTCGTGAACGTTTGCTTGTTTGCCAGGCCTGTTGGTTGACCGTGCTTGGCCTTGCAAATGTGCTCATCAATTCAGTTCACAGTGTCCGAATAAAAACGCAAACCCATTTAGATTGTCACAATATAAAGGCAAACATGTCTGTGGTGTACGAAGCAGCGCTTTGAAATATCACAGTTGGTCAAGCCCCTGAAGCCGGCGTTATCCGTGAAATGGCTTTCAAAGATCCAACGTGGCCATGGAATTTATTTGAAAGCTCTCTTACACAAAGACGAAATTGTACCGGCCATCATGGTCATCAGATGCTCAATTTCACATCAGCTCACATCGCCGCCAATACGGCCCACAAACCGACAACCGTCAGTCAACCACCAGGTCTACGAGCTTAAAGCTCCCAGGACAGAGTAACGCAATATCTCACCTACTTACATCACAATATTCCGTTTTGACTTGCGAGCTCCGGCACCATGCTTTTTGCATGTGGAGGAGGGAGGTGGTGTGGCCACCGCCACCACGCTACGATGCAGACGCATCGAGACCATGCCAGCCGTCTTGAGATGACACGATGCATCACGCCACTGCCATATGTTACTGCGTACGTACAGTGCCCGACGGTATTAAAAAGCAAACGGGCTTCCGCACGAGAAAGTTCTACACACACCCGCCGCCAAAAGATTCGCAGCTCTCGCAAGACTTGACAATGGATCCCACCAAACAGCCAGCGTCTTATCAAGTTCCCGAACTTTTGTTTCACACCATCCTCACAGTAATTGACTATAGTCACGACGCATCCGGAGCCAGCCGTACCACATTTGTGCTTGGAACACACGGGACTCTGGAGGCGGCGAAAGCCTTTGCCGTACAGTCCCTCGAGACGCTCAACTTCAAGCCTGACGACTTCCAAAAGTACCATGTGCGGACTCTGGATGAAGAGACTCCCGGCAAGACTTGGATCCACGGTGATGGTGTCCTAGCCTTTGCCCGCTCCCTTGACGGCCAAGAGTTTCGCGTGAGCATCGACACCACGCCGAACAATGAGTCCCTCTATGCAGACACGGAAGGTGGGAACATGAGGCTTCCTGAAGGGGCACAGTTTTTACATTACGTGGTCCAGACCATGGTTGACTACAACGTCGATCGGAGCGGCAGCCTGCAGAGGACAGAGATCCAGGGGGTGTATGTTCATCGTGCGGATGCCTGGACGGCCGCGCACAAGTGTCTCGACCGGTCGGAGTACGCCGAGTATAACTGCCGGGGAGACGCCGAGTTTGTTGAGCAGTGGCCGTTTGGCGAGAATGTTGCCGTTCATGCCGTTTCGGAGACGGGTCAGAATTACCTTGTTGCGGTGAATACGCCGCCTCAGCATAAGCACGACATCAAGAGGCACGGTCGCAAGAAGTCTGTGTCGTGATGAAATGACTTCTCTGGTAAGTCTAGGTGGTTGTTTCGGCTGGAAAACTGCTCAGAGACCAAGCGTTGACCATGTTGGGCTCAAGAATCGTCCTCATGAGTCTTGGTTGAATCCGTTGCCGAGGAGCGAAGACGACATTTTTGAAACATGCACACAGCTTAGGGACCGAGTTTGAATCTGGTATACGCCAATAATATGGATGCAGGCAGTGTTTCAATCTGAATATTTCTTTCATCCGACAAGACAAACTCTCCAAGAATATTTCGGTGAATAAACCATGTGAACGAACGACTGTGAGGTCCGGATGTAAGGAGAGGGGAAATCACTCCATATCGATCAACACTTTCAGAGACCCAGTCTGGTTTGCCTGGCCGAAAGCCTTGTATGCTTCTTCCATCTGATCAAACTTGAAGCCTACTTAAACGTTAGCACGCAAATGCGCTGGTACGTGTCCAGACTTTGGGGAGAGACGCACGATGTGTAACCAAGCGCGCCGCTTTGAGCTTCCCCGACTCTACCATATTCAGCAGCATAGGCGTCGATGCTGTGTCGACTAGTCTTGTTGTGATGGCTTGAAACGATTAGCAAGTTTTCGCATTCCCCCAATACTTGGCCAGACTCACTGATATTCTTGTCCCACAGACGGTCCAAGCAAAGATCGACTTTGCTTCCGTGGACACCGACATTGGCAAGCACTCCTCCAGGGGCGAGTAGTTCCTGACATAGCGCAAACGTCGCCGGTATTCCAACCGCCTCGATCACAGCATCACACCCCTTGCCGTCTGTCAGCTGCTTTACACGCGCAACTGCATCCTCAGCCTTGCTGTTAACAGCGGCGGTCGCACCAAGTTCCCTTGCCGTCTCCAGTCTCTTGTCATCTACATCAAGGACAATAATCTTGGATGGTGAGTACATCTGCGCCGCCATCAGCGCCGCCAAGCCCACAGGTCCTGCTCCCACCACGGCGACGGTCGAGCCAGGCTGGACTCTGCCGTTCTGGACACCACATTCGAGACCTGTGGGGAGAACGTCACTAAGCATCACCAAGGCCGCATCGTCCACCCCGGCAGGGATCTTGTAAAGGCTAGAGTCTGCGTGGGGAATTCGCGCATATTGCGCCTGCGTGCCGTCAATAGTGTTGCCTAGGATCCAGCCGCCGGATGTGCAATGGCTATACATGCCCCTACGACAGTATTCGCAGGCGGCACAGCTTGAGATGCATGAAATAAGCACGCGGTCACCTGGAGAAAAGCGGGATACAGACGGTCCCGTCAAGGAAACTACTCCAATTCCTTCGTGACCGAGAATTCGTCCAGTTTGGCACGTTGCAACATCGCCCTTTAGGATGTGTAGATCCGTACCACAGATGGTCGTTTTGGTGAGCTTAATGATGGCATCGCTAGGTGATAAAATTGTAGGGTCTGGCTTTTGCTGGATAGACACGGAGTTGGCGGCGCTATACACGAGGGCCTTCATAATGGTCGAGTTGGCTATGCAGGCTGAGGGTTTCGCCGTCGTTGTTGTCGTTATTGTTATTGTGAAGCTCACTTAGGACAGCCGGTACAATTCAAGAACTATTCTGGCGAGAGAACGAGTCCGATTGTGAGAGGAAATTGAAGCTTCCTTTCCATCTGTTTCCGGTTCCAGCTCTGCGGCTGATGCTGCATGGGAATGGCGTCAGCGTCATACGACGAGGGGTCCAATGGTTTGGCCCGTTGCGGCGTTGACGTTCGGTGGCGCCGTCCACAAAAGTCAAAGACCTGTGATGCCACGATGCCGGACGGAAGTCGTGGAGCTATAGGACGGCATTGCAGGTGGGCGGTGACCTGCCGAGAGCTTAAAGGGGACGACGAAGCAAGCGTATCGGCCGGCATGTGGAAGGCGAATTGTGTCCCCATCGTCCGACAACGCGCTCATCTATCCGGGGTGCCCTGTAGGTGGACAAAGTTATGCGGGGGTGGCTTTGCCGTCCTCAGCGGAAGAGGGATAGCACGATGCAGAGTCGTCTCAATCGAAGTTAGTTGGGAGATGTGCATGGAGCTCTTTTAACGAATTGCAGGTTGTATATTCCTTATGGACGCGGTTCCGGTCTGCCAGTAGGCAAAAGACACTGTTGCCTTGGGGGTCTTCCTTCTCACATCTTAAATCAAAGGCCAAGGGATGCCAAATAGGCCTTAGTCTTGCGTACCTGGGTACGTACCTATAATAGTGGGTACCTTGACTCTCCGCATTAATTCTCCTCCTAAACCCCTCGCTTAGGCACTGTTCTTCATCTTACATTTCACGATTTGATTGTTGAAACGCTGCTTTGACATGGTTAACAGTGATATACCTGTGTTATCCTGGCTGCATTCTACCACCAGTATAAAACCTGAATCTCCTTCTACTCGTTCTTACACCCGATCCTCTATAAGCCCCTCGCTATTTACGAAATACCAATCGCACGAAAAGAAATCTGAATTATCCTCGCGGCAAAACTACTAACACCAAAAGTCATATAATATGGCTCAAGACGAAGGCGAAGCACGAGTCAAAAAATGAAAGCGTAGCGATATCAATACGATAGTTAATAGCAGTAATGCGGAAATAGAGTCATTATAATCTAACGAGGAGGAGCTTATTAATGGTGGCTTTGCTGCTAATGACGGCAGAAAAGGAAACGGCCCATCCACGCCAGCTTTAAAATTTTGGCTTGCCAACGCATGCGGATCGCCTGGATCAGCTTCATCGATACGTTCAGCACGCTCTCGCGCAACGACCAATCGAACAGAACCACGAACGCCAGATGACATGCTACGAGATCTACAAGATGGACCTGATGGTCTCATAATAAACAATATACAGAGGCTTAATAACCCGCCAAATCCACTTTAGGAGCTTCTGTCAAGTATCAAAATTATTATGAGAGGGAAGGGTGTTATCTTTAAAGATATGCAAGCTGCCATTAAATCAGCAATAGAACAACACCCAGGTTACGCATGGCCTTTTGCGACTAATGAAGACTCTTCTTCATCTGTTTTCGCAGATGAGTCTGAATTCACTGAAAATTCACTTAGCCCATCACAGATAATATCATCTGTAGATGAGTCTATAAACATGAGTCTAAGATTCGGATACGAGAGTAATTGGAATACGAGCGTGCATGCCCCCATATTAGAAGAGGTATTTAAGACAACATGGTTAAACTACGAGTCATGGACTCATGGTATGTTATTATTATATAATACTTTTATTAATCACACGTATTAATAAATATTTAGTACACTAGCCAAACTTGAATCTTCATATCTCACAGGTATAATAACTTCACCAAACGACACTGGCCTTCAAATCGATTTTTGTATAATGTTCGAATGCAGAAACGATTCCGAAGAGTTCAATTCAGTCCCTTGGTCTCGATTTTTTACCAAGATCCAAAAACATTTCCCTGGCAACGTTCTTGGTATAACGAGCTTTCTATCAAAGAGTAAAAGATTTCTCGCAGTACCTATTAAGACAAAAGGAAGCTTAGGGGGTGAAGCGGAAGCACGCGTACAACTCTGCATCTGGCAAAGGGCACATTGGTCATTCCTTGATCAACTACAGGAATTACTAGAAAAGCTACAAGAAGAAAAATAATCAAGTAAGCAAGAGGAACCAACATCAACAGCTATAAAAACCCCTGTCTTACAGCCGCAATATCTCCTTGGTTTAGCTATTTTTGGGCCTAAATGGTATCTTTGTGTTTTCACACGAGATGAAGGTAAGAAACTAACGTGTTGGTTGGGTTCTGAGATCGGAGATACGAATAGCCCTATGACGTACTATCAACTTATTGATAACCTTAAATTCATTCGTCGGAGCATAATGGAGTATTGGGCGTGGCTTAACAAACGTTGATCCAGATTTATGATCTGTTGGGGGGGAATTAATATTTCTATGTTTCCTTCTTAATCCTCTTCTTAGCTCTATCAATAGAGGGTTCAAGTGCAAAATGTATATATACTTTATGAGTGACTGAGGTCAAAAGATATTTAGTTCGGTTCAATGTCTCCCAAAGAAATCAAGAACATGAGTGTTATGGCACGAGCCGTTCCCTTTCCTCGAAGGAAGCTTTTCTAGTCACATGACACACACCCCTGCCCACACTTGGGGAGACACACGCGAAGATAACACCTTTTCCTCCCCATAATATTCATCATTGACTTCCTCAGAAGAAGATCAATCGTCATCATCGTCTTGAGAAGAAGAAGACCAGCTATGGCCCTCCTTATCCCTAGAAGCTAAGGACCATCTCATTACCTTCCCTTTCACTACGTGGCAAGAATACGGCGATGTCACCTTAACAACCCACTGGGACTTCTTTTCAGACTCTTCAGAAGACCCTCTGAGGACCTTGAACGGATAATAGCGCCCCAGAACACATTAGGCTCTGCTGCCGCAGGAAAAGCCCTTATCTAAGCTGGACCATCTAGACTCTCTGCTAATAACTCCCAGGTGGTTCTCGTAGTGCATAACCCTAACCCTCGGTCTCGGAAGCTCGGACCGGAAAGTGGGGTGGCGCCTCAAACTCAAGTGGTGCAGATTTTGTAATCCTCATCCATTCTTTTGTTTGCCTCCTTCATCGCAACAGCAACCTCTCAGCGTCGTTTCCAACGGCGCCAGGCCTTCTTCCTGAGTAGAATCGTCATCAAACGAGGAATTCATCGTTGCTAGACCAACACAGCCGCTCGTTTGAGGGTCGTCGTACGCAAATCCCGTGACGGCTTCCCATGGTAATCGTGGCGACATTATTGATGCGGTTGCGAGATCGACCCTTGCAAACCTGTGTCGGACGGACGGCTTCTTCAATGTGATTCAGTTCAGCTTGATTTATTCTTGATTGCTATTATTCCGGCTTATCTGTATTTTGTGGGTTTTGTTCGCACTCTCGTACAAGCTTTTACAGCTCCATCGGTTTGGCCAGCTTCATATTCAGCAACGAACCCATCCTTCCAGCTGTTGACCACGGCTGTAATCTCCAGCGGGCTTTCCCTTGTGGCCTTGGCTCCAAGAAGCTTATTAGATTGGCTCTTGATCAGTGTTTCCCTTTGATGTCGATGACGGTTGATACAAACAGTGGTTCGCCTTTCTCCATCTTTATCCCACTAAGGTTCCGAATCAAGGCCTTGAGCATACATTTAGACGCCACATATGTTCTAGATTTACTTTGAGAAGGTCTTGTGTCCATATTCAGAACTTGCCCGCTCATGGTCGGCCGAGCTTAAACTCAGATAGAGAACTCCATACAACGACCAAAGCTTTCTCCAGCAGGTCCAGCCTTTCCAATGATATCCTGATATCTTTCATCACTCTCGACAGCAAGTTTCACCAAGGCATCTCCTAGACATATGGGCCGTTATTAGTCCACCATTTAACACTACTACTTTCGCGAAGCACGTACGGGTTCCTGTAAATCAACTAGTATCAGTACACTGTTCAGTCATCACGCGGAATGAACTTACACAGATGCGACCTCCGCAAGTCGTTTCACAGCAGATGTGACCGGCGGGACACGGGTTCTGCGGACACGCGATGATGCACTCGCTAGATGGCTAGTTGCCTTGTCAGGCGTTATTGTTACTCATTGCATATTGTAAACTCACCCTTCTACACGCTGGAAATCGGCCTGCCAACCCGACTCCTGCGAGGACAGTCACGATAATAGTAAAGGGTTTCATGATGGCCAAGATTAGATGATGTGTGCGGGAACTACTCACGCAAGACTTGAGAGAGTATCTTTCGGGTTAAAGGCGTCCTTTTATTTATAGCCCCCAGCGTTCGGTGAGATTCAGCTGCTTCCACCTGGAATGCTTACCCGACTCCTTACAGCTAGGTCATTGAACATAAGTCGAGACTGCAAGTACTTATCCATTGACTGACAGATGGCGCAGTACATCTCGCCAACAGCCACAGGTCGTAGACCCGATGGCCCGAAACCTTGTTTGGGATGACGCGGCAAATCTGATGGCGATTGTTGCCAATAGTTCTCGCCAACAGTAAGCATCACTATTACGGAGTATTCAAGACTGCGACCAGCTTGCGCCGTATCTGTCGTATTCCCAGCCTCGCGTTATCTTTTGCTACGGAGAAAAAAAAAGCCCTGTGTTCTCTGTAGGTTCCCATAGCTGAAGAGCTTGAAAACACTCCATGTTGTTTAGGGTCCAGGGCCGCATTGTTCCGTCGTAGCTTGCCATATGAGAGCAGTAGTAGGCTTAGAGATCACCTTGCACTCCCTGCTCTGTCAACTTGCAGCAACGGTGACTTGTCCAGTAAGTCTGGCGCCCTTCTGTGACCCTACCATCCAGGCGGTCCCTCAACAAGGCTGCTAGCATCACCGCCCACCGCTTTATGTCTTTGAGGTGGCATTGTCTCCAAGCGCCGTTTATAAAATTTAGTGTGCGCTCACTGCCTCAGAATTCTGATTTCTCTGGTTTAGAATGTTCCAACCGCGTGAGGTGGCTGCCTCAAGAAGAGCCCATGGCCATATATTCTTCCTCTAAAGTCCATATACTAAGCACACATCAAAATAGGAGCTTGCCCACTCAATTTTCATAAAGAAAGTAAGCCCAAGACCAAGGACTCATTTACATACTACCAGAGCGACCCTAAACTAGGTCTGGTCCTTGTAATTCACCGGCATTCCAAACGGTGTCGACTTCAGGAGGGCTATTCAAGTCTGATTCAGGTCAAGGAAGAGATTGCCCATACTCGCTCTGTGCGAGACAACCGCCGATGCGGTCGACCGGGCACCGGCACAAACTAGAACGAACGATATCTTGGCCCGAAACAAAAGAGAAAAGAGGCCGTCGCCAGAGCCCATTGCCAGAGCCCGTCCTCTGGGAAGCCTCACACATGGCATGATTCACCTTTGGTAAATCAACCACAGAGAAGAAATCGCATCATTTCATCATCTACATGTCAAAATGGGTTGTCGTGATGGACACATAGATGAGCAATAGGATACTAAATACCAGTCACTTGCACCTCGCAACCACCGCCCTCAACAACCCATCCCCTCACCAAGCCTACTACTCGTAGAATTTTCTCCCCCCCCATAGGCAGATGACGTTCGCTCGTGCTGACGCCGCCCAAGCGACTATTTGGCAGCGGACACGTCCCCGTCAGCCCAGCTGACGCCCCAACTATCCCGCTTTTCAGAACTCAAAGAGTCAACACCAAAGCCATCATCACCACTCGTCCAATCTCAGCTTCACCCCTCCCACTCCAAAAGAGGAAAAGGCACGGCATCCCCAAGCCCGCCATCAGAGTATTCTGCCGCTTTGACAGCCAATTACATCCGCCAGACAGGCAACAGCACCTCATCCGCCTTACTCTCCGCGTGCGATTACATCACCGCCGTCAAACCCATAGCACCCACATCTAGCATTCACGACCATGCCGCCGGCATAGAAGCAGCCGCCTCCATCATTCTCCGAAAGATGTCCCCAGTGTCCCCGGGATCTTCATCACAGGTAATAACGCCGCCATGGTAGCGCCCGCCGCCGAAGCATTCGCGACGTCCCCCAGCATCACCGCCAAGGAACTCGACTCGGCGCGACGTCCCATTCTGGCGATTGCTACACACACACACATCATTGCCAATTTCAGCATCTTTGTCCTTTCGGAACCCGTCGTTTCATTGAGATATGTTTTCCGGACGTTGAAGGACGGTGGGTTAGCGGCAAGCCTGACACGGAAAAGGGTCTGGCTTGGGGCTACAATACGCAAGGCGCAGAGGGCGGTTCGTCCCGGTACCCGTCGTCCCGCCTCCAAGGTCGCAATTGTTTTGCAGGAAAGCCTAGCAGCCAAGGCAATGGAGGATACGGTATTTGTAAGAGCCAAGATGACGATTCTGGTGAAGGGGTTTGTGAGAGGGGGTATGCCTTGGCCCGGTTGAGAGGGTTTATTTATGGTCAGGGATTCTGGCAAGATGTCGACAGAGGGCTGGAGCGCTTTCGATAGGGAGAAGTGGGAGGCGGCTGTTGATGGAGCGCTGAAAGAAGAGATTGATGCCTTTGGGGAGGGTGAAGTTTGAGGCATGGATAGTGTTGGCGAGGAAGTAGTCGGAAGCGACCCGACGATATATAGCTAGGTCAAATACAGTGGGAGGCAAAAAGTATTAAACAGATCGGGCACCTTACTATCGCGCTCTATATTATAGCATACTGCAGTATACTAGTGTATACTTCTCAGTGAGCAAGTATATTCTGCCACAAACTGCAGCTAGGCATGGATATCGATTTAAATCCTCGGAATAAACACCTGTATCGAAATTGGGCCCATACTCCCTTGACTGTAATACGCCTATTGAAATGCAACCCTTTTTTTTAAAAAAAAAAAAGAAAGAAAGAAAAAAAAAGAAAAAACATAAAAAAAGCATGTCTCGCCCTACTCGGGCTTGTGGTAACGTGAAGGCACGAAAGGCATCTTGGTAACAATGCCTCTTCTCTTGCGTCCACGGACCACAACATCCAGCTCAGTACCAGCCTTTTGCAGACCATCCTTGACATATCCCATGGCAATATTCTTGCCCAGAGTAGGGCTGGGGACACCGCTGGTAATCTTGCCAACCGTCTCGCCATTCTTCTGAACCTCGGCGCCGTCGCGAGCAGGAGCGCCCTGGACGACAAACCCGACACGACGGCGCTCAACGCCAGCACCGCCCTTGCTCTTTGGGGTCAATTGGGGAATGATGACCTCGGCGCCATGGAAGCCGCCAGTGGCCCGACGGTCCTTGGGAATGACCCAGGCGAGACCAGCCTCGACAGGGGTTGTGGTGTCGTCGAGGTCGTTGCCGTACAGACACATGCCAGCCTCCAGACGGAGAGAGTCGCGAGCACCCAGACCAGCGAGTTGCAGACGTTCAGGCCCGGCAATCTTCAGCAGAGACTCAACGGCGGGGGTCGTCGATTCCAGGGCGGGATACAGCTTGCCATTGAAGGAGATTTCGAACCCATCCTCGCCTGTGTAGCCACCGCGGCTGATCAAGACGGGATGCGTCTTGCCGCCGTCAGACAGCTTGAGATCAGCATACACAGCGTTGCCAAAGTACAACTTGTCCAGGTTGACCTCGCTGGCCAGGGCTTCCTTGAGAATCTCGGCGGCCTGCGGACCCTGAAGAGCAACGAGGCCGGAGCCGTCCAGTCTAGTCCACTCAACGCCGGCACCAAACTTGCCCAGCTCCTCATCGAGGTACTTGCAGTCCTTTTCGAAGCATGCGCCATTAGTCACGACATAGTACTCGTCCTCGCCAATACGGGTAATAACAGAGTCGTCGACGATGCCACCGGTTCCAGGCCACAGGAACGTGGTCAGCTTGCTCTGCATAACACCCTGGTTGCGCCATCCAGAGGGGGTCAGCTTCTCCAGGAAAGCAGCAGCATTAGGGCCCTTGAAGATGTGCTGGACCATGTGGCTGACGTCAAAGAGCGACGCATGGTTGCGAGTAAAGTGATGAGATTCGGCGAGTGAGGCGTTGGCATACTGGACGGGCATGCTATGGCCGGCAAAGGGCACCATTTTGCCCCCCTGAGCAATATGCAAGTCGTACAAAGGAGTCTTCTTGAGATCCGCGTTGGCAGTGTCGGAGGCATGTCGGACGTCGCCGCTCTGCTGGTTCACCTTGAACGCGGCTGTCGCCGCAAATGAGGTGTTGAGTCGGCTCTTGGTGAGAGAGGCCTGGAGCCGGGGCACAGCCCGCACAGCGTTTCCAAATCCCCTCATTTCGGTCAATGCTGGTTATCTATAAGACAAAAAAAATGCAATTGAGACAAGGCAGCGACAGAAAAAGAAGGGAGGAGAGGGAGGGGGAGTGGGAGGGGAAAGAATTGGAGTCAAAATGCAAGAGAAACATCCATCGACACAAGCCAAGGTGATGTGGAATTGATGACTGATGAAATGCTCAATTGAGTAGGAGCTGTGGTGGGGCTCGGGTAACCACGGACTCTCCGATATCGAGCCGCGCTGGTCCCCGGACAAAATGAGAGAGATGAGGCACCGCGGGCCCCCTCTAAGCACTCACTCTAGCGCCGCCGTCCGATGTACTCGGTAGACTAACGAGTATTTCCATTACCTGATTCAAACCACATCACCCATTCCATAACGTTATTGTTTCCGTTGCGAACGAGAAATTACAGCTGGTCTCGATTTACTGCCCGTCTCCATGGCCTCCGACGCCCGGCAGACCCCCAAACGAGTCCCCAGCCTTTGTTATGCCAATTGGCTACACTGTCAGATATACGCGGATCGCCCCAGTCAGCTGTGCCCGTGATCTAACTTACGTATGTACTGAGTACATTGTAGGGCGTCTACTAATAAACAACCGGATGTCTGCTGCGCATACAATAACGAAAATCTACAATGCAGGCCATCCCACCTGAAACCTACTGGTGCTCAAAACTGTACTTGAGCCAGCCGCCCAACGCCCGCAAACTCTCCCATCGCACATTCTCATCGTCACTCTGCATCAGCTCCATGACCCTAGTCTTGAGGCCAACCTTTTCCAATTGATAGCGCTTCTCGGGGACTTCCTTGACCAGACAGCCAATGTCATTGCAGGCAATGGCGAGGACTTGCTTGTCGTTATCCCACGGCTTCTGCATGATTTCGGCAAGCTTCCGGGGGATCTCGCCGTTCTCAAACTCGAGAATTTTCCTGGCATTCTCCGCCCAGAATACTTGGCTTCGGTGAGGAGGCGACCAGCGGAGGTGACCAGAGTGTACCTCGGCAACGTATTCGTCAAAGGTTGTCTTGGTCTTGGTGTACTCGTCCAGCAACTCCTTCAGGCTCTGCAAATCTTCCAGCAGATCGGGGTCCGTCATGTGGCGACTGCCAAGGTTGTCCAGAAGAGCCGGTAGTCGGGCGAGGACGGCGGTGGGAAGAAGCGAGGTTTGGTTCCTTTCGAGTAAGTTGTACAGCGTAGATAGGATGAGTCTTGTGGTCTTCTCCTTTTGTGACAGCCGTAAAAGATGAGTGTAAAGCAAAATGACGTCGTACTCGCTATTTTGGTTAGCAGATTCAGCACTCTCCGTAGTCCTCGCTGGGGACACTGGATACTTACTCGTTTAGGTCGTCGCCAATCTCATCAGCCTCAAAGCTCAGCTGCCAAATAACGAGCAAAACGTGGTACAGCAATTGAAGGCCCACACCACCACCCAGAGACCCCTCAAAGCCAGTGTTACGGACGTTGATGTTGCCACTCCATAAGTTGGCGGCAGAGTTTCCACCGTCCCCAATGCCGGCAGCAGTCTGCAGAATCTTGACGAGAGGCTCAACCGTCTCGCTTCTCTGGTTCCAAAACTTACGGCGTGAGGATCGGCCAAAGAGGAGTGCGGAATACTCCTGCACGGCAATGTCTTGCAGGCCGGCATCAGTGCTCTTGGCTAAGCCAGACAGATAGGTGAACACCACGGGCAAGGCCTGTTCGGTAGCTTTAGATTCGTCCCGCGACAGAGACATGAGGGTCGTCAACGCGTGAGATGTAAGCAACGGAATCGGGTCTTCGGTGGTGTTTGAATGCAGCAACGGTAGGAAATGCCTGTATGGGTCGGTGTCCTTGAATAATGCTTTCGCCAGAGACGGGACGGCTGTAGGTGAAGGCCAAATTGTCAGCCAAGAAGCAGAGTAGAAGGTTTGACAGATGCATCCAGCCGGGAGCTGCCTCCAACTAGATGCGAAGAGGGCGTACCATCAACCAGATCCCCCAGAAGAACCAAAATATATTGAATCACGTTGGCATGCTTGCCTGCAGTCTCCAGCACACTCGGCTTTCCTGGGCCGCCAACAAAGAGCAACCTGTATCCATCGAAATCGCCTTCAACAACTTCCTTTCTCTGCTCGAGCTTCTTTGCCTTGTCGACAGCACGAATCTTTGCGTACTGCTCTTCGGTAAGCGTACCTGCCCTCACGGCGCCGTCCCATGGAATTGGCCGTTGCCGAATGTTGCTCTGCAAGGAGGCTAGATATGTGGGCGGATCGAGCGACATGACGGCGGCGCAGTTGTCGTTGGAGCGTCGCACAGGCGACGACTGGTATTGACCGAATAGGAGACTAGGGGCTGCAACCAGAAAAGAGGAAATTCAGCGCTAGGAGCCGGCGGGCGTTGGCGATGGATGTGGATGTAGTGCCGCTCGACACTCTTAATTAGATGAGGTCGTTGATGATACAGCCAACCAGCATAGCGTCACACACTCAATCAGCCAGGGAAGCTCTGGAGCAGGACTGGAGCCCCACCCAATTACCAGGCTCCACGAGATGAAGGCAGGCAAGAGCAACGGCTCGACTTGCGGCGGCTGACTGTTATCCGAGGATGCGCCGCTGCAAGCTTCACAGAGCCCAGCCACCAGACCCGAATCTTTCTAGAAATAATTAAAGTTGGGCATTGCCTAATGAGTTGGCCTCACCAGCTGAATTGGACCATGAATACGGAGTAAGCTTTTACAGATCGAACGTTCGCCGTCCAGCCGTAATACATGGTCTCTCGTAGATGAGATCTGAATACGGAGTACATACGGAGGACAGTAGATGGTTGAACGGTCAAACGGTCGAACAATGCCTTGGCCCTTGGCAAGCAAGCCAGGTGTCACCGCCATGAAACCAGGTACCAGCAACATGCAGCCACGCACAGCACAGGAACTGGTCCAGCATCGATACCCGATCATCCAGTAACAAAAGGCAATGCGACCATCCTCACAGCACTGGTCAAACCATCGGTTCACGAGGCCGCGTTAGGTGTCGATGAGCTGGCATTGCGGGCCGTCGAGTCCAACATCCCCGCCTAAATTCATGCGTTTGCTTGGACACCAAGAGAGCTTGAGCTCGGGAAATGGTGTGGGTGGTTGGCAACCCCGGCAACCCTGACAGCTCAAGCCCTCAGACAAAGCAGCAGAAAGAGAGGCACAAAATATCCCCAGCTGCTGGACCAAAGTCAAGAATGAGTTACATCCATACCGGACCCCTGAAATTCATAAGGCATGGCTGAAAAAGAAAAAAAAATTAGTTCCTGGGAAGCCCCTGGTCCTTTGTTTCAAGCTGGGATTAGAAGGTGACGTCTTGGTGCCGGTCGAATTTGGAGGGGCTGGGCCACTTCCGTTGTATCCAAGCGGGAGGAGGTTGGGGATGCACGCCGAGACAGTCGCGGCCAAACCTGCAGCCTCTTAAAATCTCCATGATACGTGACGCGCCAAACATCTCTCTCTTCTTCATGCATTGTGCCGCAAAGATAGGCTATTCGAGTGAATTGTCACTTATTGTTGTTTACTTTGTTGGCCGCTGACTTTTGCCCAGCAATTCTTTGGCTTCGGGCCATTTATTCGCAAAGCTCGCGACTCCAAGACTCAGGCGTCATAATTCTCGAGAGTGTCACACCCACTCCCGCATTCCAGTGGACATACGCATACCTGGCCGCAAGTCATCTCGCTCGGCCGCCATGCAAAATCCCGTTCCAGTCTCGTCTTTGCCGGCGACGGGACGGTTGTTTTTCTTGCTCGGCGCCACAGCCGCCATTGTCTCCGCCTCACCTTTTCCTCGGAATACCGTCAACGACTTGGGCTTCTCATTTCTCTTGCGACGAGATGACTGCGCAACCTACTGCGGATCTGAAAAACAGTTTTGTTGTTCTTCCAACCAGGTCTGCACAACCCTAGCCGGCAATGTAGCCACCTGTGCGCCTGGCGGCGGCGGCTCCTACGGCGCATACACCACCACGTGGACCGAGACGAGGACCTACACGAGCACCATCATGACGAATTGGGCTCCGGCGCCGACTCCGATACCAGGAGTCGATTGCAAACCTCAGAGTCCAGAGCAAGAAGCTTGCGGGCCGATTTGCTGTGCGGGTTGGCAAACTTGTGCCTTCAAGGGCCAGTGCTCCGCCCGGCCGGGATATCAGGAGCCCAGCACCATCGTCATGACGTCCAATGGTGTAGTCACGACTCGATACTCTGCTCCTTACCGAGTCACCGGTACCACGACTGTTATCGGCAGCGGTACTCGAAGCGACCAATCTTTCTTCACAGCCACAGCAACCACCACCTCTGCGAGTTCAACTTCCACTAGCGACGGGGATACTATCGGAGCTGATGGAAGCAACAAGGGCGGAACTGGGGGCGGTTTGAGTGGCGGCGCCATTGCCGGTATTGTTATCGGCACGCTGGCTGGTGTCGCCCTGCTCATGCTTCTCTGCTTCTGCTGCATCGCCCGTGGTATCTGGAACGCCGTCTTTGGCCGGAAAAGGGAAAGGTCTGAAAAGGTCATTGAGGAAGAAGTCCGCTATTCACGACATGGCAGCCAGGCACCGTCTGCCTATTCCCGCCGAGACCGCCATTCCGGATGGTTTGGTGGTCGTCCAACATCTGTCGCTGATCGCCGCCCGAGGAAGTCGGATGGGAAATGGTGGTTGGGCATTGCTGGCGCAGCAACGACTCTGTTGGCTTTACTCAACCTCAAAAAGGATAGGAAACCTGTTCGACGGCCGCAGTCTTCACGGTACACTGATTCGTCCTACACGTATTCCGACGTTACATACATGAGCCCAAGTAAGTTTATATCGAGACTTGTCTGTGTTCATTCCTCTGGTCAAACCCTAACCAATTTCTAGCCAGCTCTAGTTCAGGACGACGAACCCATCGTACCGGTCGAACAGGCCGGAGCCACCGCAGTGACAGCCGTGGCGGAGCCTCTTACTACTCCCGTGCCACCACACGCCGACCATAGAGTGGTTGCTCGATTGAACCACGTTCCCTGCTCAAACCCCCGTATATTTCGCATCCCATGGTGAAGTCCCGTATCTGTATTTCAAGGGGCACTTTTGTTTTTGTTACCTATAGTTGTTCTGCATGTAATGAGCTTTGGCGTTTCGGTATTATCTTGTTGCATTCCACAGTTGGCTGGTTTTGACGCGCTGCCCAAGGTCGGCTTTCATCAGTATAGAATGGACACGTTTGGGAATGAAGATATGAACTAGAAGACTGGATATGAGTAACATAGAAGATGATGGTTGATGGACTTGGACGAAATTCTTTGCACATAGATGGCGGATACAAATAGGTTGGCGACTTGACTCACGCCTGTAATGAACATATCACCGCATTTGGCTCCAGTTTTCGTAATGCTTGCTTCGTCTTCTAAACTTATGGGACTGGCCTCGTCATGGAACGCATCGGCACGATGGAGCGATTCGAAAGAGCCCCAATTTGGCCGGCGTGTTCACCACCACCTTCTCTCCAAGCTTGGATCTAGTTTCACCACATATGATACCGCCTCAAAGTTCCTACAACAAAAGGCACAGTCATGCACAAAATTTCGTTACTTTTTAATCAGTTTCTTTTGTAGCCCTTTTGCTACGTGACATGCAAATGGTTAAACCGTCGCCACTCCTGAGACCCAGAAACGCAAAAGAAACAAGAATTCCGTGTCCGTGTCCCTCCCAATCTTACTCCTCAACGACGTTGCCCTTTTCGGAAACGTACAGACCGTCCAAGAACTGCAACCCAAACGTTAGCGAATTAGTCCTCACATGTTAACGGGTGGTTGCAGACACAGATTTGTCATGATGGCTAGTCAACAATCTGAGCCCCTCCCTTCTTCTTCAACACCCGCCGATGACGTAGGAAAGCCAGTGAAGGAAAAAAAAAACCCACCTTTCGGATATCCTTGTTGCGGACCTTGCAGATCTGCTGAATATCGGCAGCGCTCTGCGACACACGCTCCAGAGAGTTGCCAGTCAGGACGAGCTCATCCTTCTGGTTCTTGGACAGCTCGACGTCGACACCCTCCTGCATGACGACCCGGCGGACAATCTTCTCTCCGATAAAGTTTCGGATTTCAACCTCCCATAGCCCGGTCTCGTTGCTCTTGTCCAGGTTTACGTTGATGGGAAAATGGGCGTATACGTATCGCATCTTGTATTTGAAGCCCTTGGTGACACCGATAACCATGTTCTGGATGATGGATCGGACGGTACGCAGCGTGGCAACATTCTTACGGTTGCCGTGGTGGATCTCGATCGAGATGGTGTTCTTCTTGGGGTGGCCGAAGTTGACGGCCAAGTGGCCGAGGTCCTTGACGAGCTTGCCTGTTCTCATATGTCAGAAAAGGTCCTTGGCTGACTGTGTGTGGCTTTTGGCTTTTCTGTTTTTCACAGAAAGGCATGTCGCTGTTGGTGCGTCGTACCTCGGGGACCCTCGACGGTCACGATTCTCGTCTTGATGGCAACCTTGACTATAGGTATGTTAGTGCCGTGTTGGGAAATAAATTTTCCATTCAGTCCAAATTGCGCCTTGAATTCGTCGTGGGAAATGTTCGGTGCCACTGTCAGTCGTTCGACGTCGGGTTCCCAAATGCCATTCCTCTCTTCATCTTTCAATTTGATCTCTTTCTTTCCATCGCCGGACTGGTGGGCATCAAAATTTCCAACTTCGAAAATATGGCGGACAATTTGGACCTTTTCTTTTTGGAATCGATTAAAGCAGGAAATTGGTACGTACCCCCCTCGGGGATTTCAAGGATCTCCTGAGAATGAATGTACTTCATCCTGCCGGTTGTGAGTTGGGGATGTCGGGAGGTGAGGAGGTTGTCGTAGGGCGTCGGCTGCGGTCACGACAAATTTTTGGCGAAATCGTGTGGGCGGGAAAAGTTCTAGGGCTCGCTGCACGTGAGAATAGAAATTGCGGGTGGCCGAAATTGAACCGTGCGAGGCAGGTGGTGGGGGAGAAGCGAGCTGCGTGATATTGCACGTGATTCATCTGAATGCTCCAGGGCCCACCTTGGTTGATGTTGTATCTTGACTTGCAACCATTCCGTGTCAAGAGGTCAATTCAATCCAAGTTGAAAAAAATCATGGTGGCTTTTAGCTGTCCTGCTTTCAGATGTAGATGGTAGAATTGAAGCCGTTTCAGTCCACACATCACGTAAGTTTCAACTCTGGGCGAGACAGCTCGTCGATTGGTTCCGTCTCAAACATCCGAGCTTCGGTGGAGAGCTCCGGATCCTCCATCCGCCCCAAACAGTACGTCAGCGTCGTTGACACACCTTGACCACGACATCACCAGCTCACCTCAACCGGTGCCCATCTGCCCCTCGCGAACTCCTCGCGTACCATCCCGCCTCCTTTAAACACTCCCAAGGCGCCGTGGACGCGCTCCTCTCCTCATAATGTCGTACTTCTTCTCCACCCCCGTCGACATCGATGTCGTTCTCGAGGATGCCGACGACCGGTCCATGGTCGACGTCAAACTCGACAAGAACCGCCGCGAAAAGGCTCCCCTCTACATGGACGGCGAATCCGTCAAGGGTGCCGTCACCGTCCGCCCCAAGGACGGCAAGCGCCTCGAGCACACGGGCATCAAGGTGCAATTCATCGGCACCATTGAAATGTTCTTTGACCGTGGCAACCACTACGAATTCCTTTCCCTGAACCAAGAACTCGCCGCCCCCGGTGAGCTGCAACACCCGCAGACGTTCGACTTCAACTTCAAAAACGTCGAGAAGCAGTACGAGTCGTACAACGGCATCAACGTCAAGCTGCGGTACTTTGTGCGCGTCACCGTGTCCCGCCGCATGGCCGACGTCATTCGTGAAAAGGACATTTGGGTCTACAGCTACCGCATCCCGCCCGAGATGAATAGCAGCATAAAGATGGACGTCGGTATCGAGGACTGTCTTCACATCGAGTTCGAGTACAGCAAGAGCAAATACCACCTCAAGGATGTCATTGTCGGCCGCATCTACTTCTTGTTGGTCCGGCTAAAGATCAAGCACATGGAGTTGTCCATTATTCGAAGAGAAACGACGGGCGCCGCGCCGAATCAGTACAACGAGAGCGAGACGTTGGTGAGGTTTGAGATCATGGACGGTTCGCCATCGAGGGGGGAGACAATTCCTATCAGGCTATTCTTGGGGGGTTTCGACTTGACGCCTACGTTTCGAGATGTGAACAAGAAGTTCTCGACGAGATATTACCTCAGTTTGGTCCTGATTGATGAGGGTGAGTAACCCTTTTTTCTGTGGTGCGCATATCCCAGCACAATAATAGTGTTGCTGACATGTCTAGATGCCCGTCGGTACTTCAAGCAATCCGAAATCATTTTGTACCGCCAAGCTCCCGACGGCCTCGCCGAAAACACCGGCGGCGGTCTGCAGCCTCTCCCAGCTCCCAACGAAGCCAAATTAGCCGCCGCTCAAGCAGCTGCTGCTCAAGCATAGGGGGTCCAAGATCTAGGACCATGCAACAAGGGGCCCCCCTTGCTTTTGTCACATGTTTATAATTCCCAAGTGTTCTTCTAGCATAGGGCTCGGCGTTAGGGGTAGTTATTGAAGGAGGCGATATTCTCCCTGTCGGCTGGCAAGCCAATGGGTGGGCCACCACCCTGAAAATTACAGACAGATATTCGAACATGATTATTTTCTCTTTATTAACCTTCCTCGTAAAGCCTCACGTACCGTCTTGTCCCAAGGTATCGAGTTCGTGAAAATTTCTACTAAAAATAATCTACACATGCCTTTGCCGTCTCAATTCACACACTGCCATACCATTTATAACTCCATTACATCGCCCGCCTCGAAACCAAATTGGTTGTTCTGGATCGCCGCAATTCTATCGAGCTCATCCTGGTATTGTTTGCGAATATCTGCCAGCGACACCACCTTTCGTTTGCTGGCACCATCCCCATTCTGGTGGAGCGCTGGTGCTCCCTCGTCGAATATCCACGCTTGCTGTGGTTCAACACAGCTGAGGGCATTAATAAGAAGCAAGTATTGGCGTGTCACCGGAGTATCCAAAACATCGTCGCCCGTAATCTTATCCCCCTCGCCAGCCAGTTTTAGTTTCTGGATGTAGTCTAGGAGAACTGATGCAGCTCCGCGATAATTATTGCGCTTGATACGCCACGAGTACAGCACCTGATGATACGGGAATCCCTGCACTACATCGGTCGAATTTCGGCACCGGTCGGCTAGTATGTCATCTACTTCTTGTTGCAGGCCGGGAAAAGGCAACGATACGAGTTCCATGTTGTGACATGTTTCGCACATCTTGTCCACCAGCTTTCGCAGGCTCGAGTGCTTCAAGGCACCATCTTTGATGGAGAGCAGGCTTGTGTGAGCGAGCTCAAATTGTGATGTGACCAAAGCAGCATTGAACTGACGACTCAGCATCTCAACCTTCGCAGATGAACTATCCTTGACGGCATCCAGGAATTGTATCGCCAGCCTAGCAAAGTCGACCACGTATGAATAAGCCTTGTGTGCTTCGTATTGCGCAACTATGTGGGAATAGTACATTGACTGGCCGTGGTTGAGGAGATTCCACTCCGTATCTCCCAGGAGCCCGCAGCTGTGTCTGTCGCTAGGGACTGTTTTGGCGCCTAAAACTGTCAGTCAAAAATGACACTGTCATAACGCCAGTAGGTGAACTTACCCATTCCAATGGCTGCCCTTCTAAAACTGATCGCTGCCGACTCAAAATCGTTGAGAGCCAATTGAACTCGGCCCAGCACATAAACGGAGAATGGGTTTTGATCGCTAAACGGAACGAGCTCGAGAGCCAAATCGGCTCGTTCTTGTTTGATGAGTGCACACTGGATGAGTGCTGGAGAGATTTCAATGTCGCTGTCTGGTGCACAGAGGTTTGTTATGACATCCGTGAGGCTGCTATAGAGAGGTTCCTTTTTAAGATTATCAAAGCCGAGAAGGTGCCCGAGGTTGGCCTCGAGAGCAGTCACTGTTTGGGTGCTGTCGTCGCCAACCCTCTTGGACTGTGACGCTCGGTCGCCATGGGACAGAGGGATTGACAACTCGGTATGTGCCAGCCACTTCAAGAGTTCCAGCCTCTTAAGTGCGCTAATGAGTTTCCGATATACTGATCCAATATCGACACGGTTGTGCAAGGCGTCCTCTTCATTGTCAAATTCAAACTCCATGTGAACAAGAAGAATTACCTGGCTGAAGCAAACATTCCATTGCAACGCAATGGCATCTTGAACGCCCTTCATAATGAGTTTCTGCCCAAATTCTGTCAAGGGGTATCGTAAGTGCCGCCGTCTCGCTTCCAAGGGGGCGGCCATCAGGTCTAAAACATGAGCATACAAATTGTCGTCGACAATGGCGAAATTAGCGCCGAGCACATCGACAACTTGTGCACAGTCCTCATCAGTGATGCCTCTCCAGAAGCCAGCCTTGTCGGAAAAGTATTGAATGCGCTCCAAATCTGTTTTTGATGACTCGTCAAAGATTTCCTGTCTTAATGCAGCCTGAGCTAACTGGACAAGATTGTCTGAGAAACCATCCACAAAGGACAGCGCGGCGTTAACCAGGGCTGCCTTGCTAGCGTTCTCCTCATCAGGAGAGCCAAGATTGTGATAGAGCCGCTCCAAATCACTGCATAGTCGGATGGCAGAGACAAGGTCGGTGCAGACTACCCAAGCCATATCAGTCTCGGGATCAAGAGCCAAACCAATAGCCTCTCCACGCTGACGGTCCAGCTCGGCCAAGAGTCTGTAGAATCTGCGCCACTGTGTTTCACCAGATGCTCTGAACTGCTCGTAATCCATGGCCCCCGATGCGTCGCGCTCCAGTGAAGCTGTCGCACCCAAGACTAAGCAAATAGACTCAGCAAGACCACGACCCTTGCCGTTGCTGCCATCCTTTGATGTCCCCAGGCCGCGCTCGTATATCGATAAAGCCGTCTCGAGTGTTGCCTTTGTAAATCGTCCTGGTTGCAGAATACACTGTAACCATTTCTCCGTCACATCGGTCGAGTCGCACGGTCCAGACGTTTGAACTGGCATGGTCCCAGCGTCAGGGTAGACGCCATCCCAGTTGTCCTCCCACGACTGCACCATGTTCTTTCTATCCAACTCAAGCCGCTTGACTCTGTAAGACATGTTGTTCTTCCACAGGGTCCACAGATTAATAGATCCTTCTGCAGGTGACGCAAGAACGAAGTCAGCCAGCGTCCAGATATCAGAAGATGATGGCGTAGACGGTATTAGAGTGGCCTTTGGAAAGAGGTCTTCTACAATGACGGTGTGTGCGTCCTTGGCAATAATCTTCCAAAACTTAAATTCGCCCACGCCGATGGGGGAGTACGTGGCGCAAATTCGTTGTCCCTGGTTGTGTCCAACAAGCTGAACCAGATTTGACAGAGAGGGGTCGATGGACCATTTTCCAACCTGTTGAGGCGTACGTTCCACATTGAGCAAGTCGCCGGTGAAAAGAATCTGACCATCATTAACATTCCAAATACGAATTCGGTGGTCGAGACAAATTGTTATGGCAAAAAGACAGTCTTGAAGCCCAAAGTCCGTCACTTCAATGGACGTCGCAGCACTGTATTCCATATTGACTTTTCCGTACTTGATCGTATGGTTCCCGTGGAATGGCAATAAACTTCGTAGATTTTGAGCCCAACCTTGGACGTTGAAGAATGACTCCTTCCAAAGACCAGACGACGCTACATCTCGTTAGGAATGAAGAATGGCAAAGGTTCAGGACAAACTCACAGTCATCATGTTTTGTCTTGTCAAAGCGAATCATTCCACCATCGCTCACTGTAACGAGTAAAGTATTGGCCGTCACAGCCACCAACCTATGTGGGCTCTTGAAACCAAGTCCTGCCGGCGACTGAACCTTGCAAAGTTCTGAGAGAACCGCATCGATGGCTGTCCTCTTTCTGAAGAACTCGGGTCGCAGGGTAAAAGTGTACAGCTGCGAAGACTGGTCCAGCACATAAACGCAAAGCGCATCGTGTTCTTCCGGGTCAGAGAATGCCACACAACCGGACTGAATCGGCACGCCAAAGTTGAAGTTTAGCACAAGAGGCGCATCGGGAGTCTTGTCCCTTTTGCAAACGTCGGCAGCTCGAATGCTCAATACGGCTCCGTCCTCCAAAACTCGCCATAGGAAGCTGCGCGGCGTATCGTGCCACTTGCGATGATAGATTGATGAATTGATGGCTAGATTTTTCAATCGAAACGTTGTCTCGTCCTCGGATGACGACTCGTGGGTAATGCGTCGTTGGCTGCGCCCGTTGCCATTTTTCGAGGGCACCCGGATGCTCACAATCGACGCTGGCGCAGGAGGCTCGAGGTTCAAGCGGGTCTCTTTGAAGAGATACTGAATATCGCCTGAATCCATCTCGCCTCCATCAAGGAACCCCGATCCTTGGTTGATATGGGTGGAGGGAGAGAAGCAGATTCTTGTGAGTGTTGGGACAGTGGGTGGTGAGAGGTGATCGCGGTGGATGGCAGAAATTCAGATCGAAACTGGGACGTCGCGACCGCGCTAACCCAAAATAGAAACCAGCTCACCACCACCATACCCTATAGCACAACTAAGAGCAGGTATGCCGCCTGAATTCTGTTTACCGCAATAGCATTGAAACTGTTGAAATGTAACTATGAGAAAGATCACTTGAAAATATTATTCAGTTGATAAACCAATTAAAAAAAAAATGAGGCAGATAACCATGTAAGACATCCAGTAACACTATGTTGTAGCCGTACCTAGGCCAGGGAACCGCAACTAACTACGCAATACGCCATGAGTTGAAAATCTTGCATTTCAGTTTAAAAATCCACTGGTAAGTATTTCGTATATCGCAGACTACGTTAAAGCATCTTCAGATCTGTGACATCACGATTCATATTGTCTAGGAGTATAAAGATGTAAATACAGCAAGGACGACCAATATAACGCCTATATCATGCAAACCCAATCAGATTCGACCAACCTCATACCTAATCCTTCTCCATGTCCTTCGGAGCAGGGTCGCCAATGCCATCCTCATTGATAGCAAACAACGTATCGCTCTCAGGCAGACATGGACTATCATAGATTTTGGCAATTCGTGTCTCACCACGTCCCTTCTTCAGACTGATACGAGTCGTGCTAGCGTGGGCAATAATATTGCCACCGATGGGCTTCTTCGGATCGGGATTGAACATGGCACTTGGTCCACCGTCGACCTGAGCGACAACCTGGTTGGTGATCACCACAGCAATCCCGAACTCATCAGCCAATCTCTGTAGCGTACGCATAAACTTTGCCAAATGGGTCTGTCGATTGGATAGCTCCCCACGACCACAGAAATCCGTACGATACAGAGAAGTTGCACTGTCAACGACGAGCAAGGAGAACCGCGTCTCACACATCATGGCAGCAGCTTGATTCAGCAGCTGAAGCTGATGGTCAGAGTTGTAAGCACGAGCATAAGCCACATTGTCCAAAACCTCCTCTCCAGATAGTCCAAAGCGGTTGGCGACAGCAAGAAGTCGCACAGGTCGAAAGGTTCCCTCGGTGTCAATATACAGGCACTTGCCCTCACCACCACCCATGTCAAAAGGCAGCTGACACGTCACAGCCAATGTGTGGCAAATCTGACTCTTTCCGGTTCTGAATTCCCCAAACAATTCGGTGACTGAGCCGGTTTCAATCCCGCCCGCGAGAAGTGTGTCCAAGTTCTTGGATCCCGTTGTGATGGAAATGAGTTCGCTTCGTCGCTGATGCATCTCGGTGGCGGTTGTGAACCCCATGGGGACAAGTTTGGAGGCTAGGAAGGGAATGAGTTTCAGACTTCCGCAAGAAGCGATTAGAGAAACGAACCTTCTCCCAAAATCTTCTGTGCCTTTTGCTCCGAAATGCCTTTTATTTGTTCCAGCATTCGGCGAGGAGTATATGCCACAGACTCCACCGTATTAAATCCGCCATCCATGACGAGTTGAATGTCGCGTTTCGTTAACCCAGCAATTCCCTAGAGTTTGAAGGTCAATCAATACCTTAGCTCACTCGCGTATAAAATAAGACAAATTACCTCCAAGGCTGTGAGCGGCGTGGGAGCTCCGGGTCCTGTCATGCCACCATCGTCACCCGCTTGGGCTTCATCGTACTCGTCAGCCATTTTACGTGTATTAAGGCAGCAAGAAAGTGACCAATCCTCGATAAGAAGCTGCAATTCGAAGCCGTGAAGATTTGTAATGGTGTTGATATGACAACCGCGTTGGCACGCGTCGCAGGTAAGGCACCAACTCCACCTTTTGGACGCCAAGGCACGTGACCAATCAAAGTGGGAGGCAACGACTCTGCGCACCTCGAGGTCACTTACCCACTTTGGATTCTACCAAACTGAAATTTCATGCCACAAATATACACGGTCATCATATTCGAAAGGCAAGCGATTATTGTATGAATTTGTATCAAGTCTTAATGAATTTGTAGTAGTACTATAGTACAAGCAAGCTGTTTGTCATTCCTTCGTCCATCATGCGCAAAACCAAACCCATTTTACCAAACGCCACCATGTGAGAAAGCCGAAGTGCAGTTGCAAAGTCATTCATTTCTGATGTACATGCGTTGCCTTAGTTGATGGCGATGCGGCGGGATTCGTGCTTCTTAGCCTTTGGCACGACAATGGACAGAATTCCATCCTTGAAGTTGGCAGTCACTCCGTCCTGATCGACGCGGTTGGGGAAGTTGAAGCTGCGAGAAAACTCGCCAACGCTGCGCTCCTTGAGCCAGTACTTGGCCTTATCGGCGACCTTCTTCTCCTCGGGCTCAGGCTGCTTGTCAATTTCCGCTGTGGTGGTAGTTGGGGTTCCGGGGCGAGAGTGTGATGCGTTGGACCATTCTTCGTCCTCTTCATCTTCAACAGTAGCCCTTCGTGTAGTCTTGGGCTCCTCAGCGGCACTGGAGAGACCGCCGCTCATAGCACTGTCCTCGACCTGGCCGGCGGGGGGAGTGCCAGCGGTATAGGATCTCTCGACCTTGCCTCGAATAACCAAGGTCTGAGGCTCGGAGAACTCAATGTTGACATTGTCCTTGTTCACTCCAGGAAGTTCACCGTGAAGCTCATAGGCATCCGTGGTCTCGCGGACGTCAAACTTTGGCTGCCATTGTCGGACCAAGCAGTGACGATTGGCCTTCGGGTTCTGCTGACGAGAGTAGGTGTCAAAGTCGTCGAGCAGACGGAATAGGGGAGTGAAGGATTGATCCTGGTGATTGTGAATGGTTCGTGGGAAGAATGCCATTTTGTATGTTGATGTGGTTCAAGTGGGTTTGAAAGAGGAAGATCGCTTCACTTTTTGTGAGATTCTTCAAAGGGGTGTTCTACTGCAGGGTTGCATAAAACAGCTTGTTGTGTGTTCTGATGAGAATGAAACTCATTTTGTGCGGGTTCGGTGTTGTTGTTTTATACTTCTGCAGAAAGGTGTACTGACAAATGGTGCAACAGGCAACAAACAATTGCGAACATTGTTGAATATACTAGATGTATCTAGAATCAGTTAGGATGCAGCTGCATTGCGCATTCGGTGGCTTAGGCGCTGAATTACACGGTTCGACGGCACTAGATGATGACAGTTACGCCTGGAAGCTTCAAGAAGCCAGTAGAAGTAGTGCCTCTACTGAACTGGTCCTGTTCCCAACGCACAACAACGGCGAGCCATCGAATATCGAGGCGCTCGGTACTACCCGCTCACATCCCGCCAAAATAACTTTTTCTCGACGATTCCAAGTACCTAGACATCTGCATAGGTATCTAGATCAACTTGAGCTCTTACTGAATTTTGTGTCATCGTGGCCGTGAACTGGGTGGAGGTGCCTTGTACCTGATCCGTGCACGCATTGCTGACTAACACAGTAACGACCCAGGTACAAACGTCCACGGTGAAATGACGTCACCGTCGCGGATTCGACCAGAGATCAACAGCAAGATAGAGAAAATGTAGCATATCGAGCTTAACGGTAATAACAGCCCCAAATGGGGACAAGAACGATCCTGTCACTTGATGTGCCGACATACTTCAATTGAGTCTGAAAGCAACATACGACCTCGTCGTTAGGGATGATCCACGATAGCTCTCTCTGTACGGAGTACGATCAGCCATGTCACACAGAGTTTACTCCGTGTGACACTTGCCCAGCCACATCTCGTTCATCAACGCATCGCCACTCACAAGCCACGGTTGGATTCAACTTCTTCTCTTGATGCAATTCTCGCGGTTCATCAATACTTAGCGAGAATATAGGAGTGTTTTCTCTCGTAAGAGCTCAAAACTCCCGATGATGTGTAAACCTTGGGGCTTGTATTGGATAACGTGGCATCTATTCAGTTTCCTCAAAGAGCAATTCTTCACTGCATTCATAATAGAGGACATGACCATGATTCCCCAAAGACACTCGAGGCGTCCAGATCCAAGCCAACCTGCCGGACATGCATCCACTGAACCCCCCATCACATGAAAGATAAGAAAAAAAAATAATCATCACCGTCGTTATCCGTAGGCAGACATAATGATTCACCTCTCTGATCTAGCCAAAACCGTCTTTGCCCCAGTCCCGACTCACACGCTGGTTTGACACCCTTCAAAGATTCCCTCCCAAGATTCGCCTCACCTCTTGCTTCCAGTGACTGCCCTGAGTGCGCATCAGAGAACGCCCGTCCTGGTTCAAAACCCAGCCAGGCGATTCATTTGCTATCAATATGGCCGCATCATCGGATATCCAGGCACAAAATTCATTTGTGCACGTGCAGGAGTTGCAGCAATGGTTGGATTCTGTACCCGGTTGAACAGGCCAATCAACCTTCGTCCAACAGAGGGCTCTAACTCAGTGCCGTCTCTAGCAATTTTGACTTCTCGGTTTGAATTCCAAGGGTTACGCAAACCCCTTGTTCGGAAAAAGGGAAGGCGACTGGTGGAGAGCCATTCTAACTTGAATGGCTTTCCCCATGCCTTTGTTTCATCCTTTGTGCCATTGGCATTGTCACTTGTGCTTTCGCTCTCCATATCAGATTCAGTTTCAGAATCGTCTCGTTCCGCCTCCCAGAATATTGTGCCTCGTGCGGAATCATCTATGATTTTGCCCCTGGGGGCGTATTCAGTAGCATCTGTAGGAATCGCTATCGGAAGATCGACATTGGCAGTAGATGCAACTTTCGGTGCGAATTTGATTGCAGCGGCAGGATCTTCGTTGATTTCGGAAATCATACGTGCGTATCCGAAATATTCGCCTGATTTATTAGCTGAGAATATTAAATAAACATTATCCGCGGCCTGTACGGAACCAGTTAGTACATTGACATATATGTATGAAGTCCTAGTTCACTTGGTGGCTGACTTGCCTGAAACGCATCATTGAGGTTGTTCTCATTGTGTGATTGCGTGGCCCAAATACCGGTTTGTACACTTAGATCCAAGTCTTCTGTTGTCAAGCTCTTTAAGATGAAGAATTTGTCCTCGTACTGGCGAGCTTTACTATCGCGCCTGGGCACTGGTAAAGCGGGTTTGGCAACAACTTCTCCCTCTATAGAAGGGGTCTTTGTCTCCGAGTCATCATTGACACTCTCTATATCACTGCCTCCTTGTGTTTTAGATGGCGTGGGATTAACAGCAGGACCAGTAGGCACGGTGCTACCTTTGGAACCCTCGATTGTACTCTTTCGTAATCGGCTGACGAGTCGGACAGACTGGAATTTGGAATCGTGTAGATTTTCCTGTGCCGTAGAGCAAGTAGGCTCATCTTTAAAATTGGCGAAGGCACAATTACTCTTAGAAATCAGAAATAAGGATTCCATTCCGGGTGTTACCTTGTACACGTGATGAACCAAAGACATTAGGTTGGTTTGAGGCGGTAGATTACCGATCCAAAGAGCGTGGCCGCTCTGTCGCGGTTTTCTTGGAGGACCCCGAACTGCATTCTGCGTTGCTGAAGGCGCGTCTGTTTTTTTTGGGTCAGTTTCCGATTGTCCAGTTGCTTTTGATTCACAGTTAGTCTACCTTGGTTGTGTGGCCTTCCAGCAACAGTATTACCATTCCCCTGGTGCGGAGGACTGCGAGATTGAGATTTCGAAACACCATCTACGAATAGTCCCGGTACCATTGCAGGCATTGCTGGTGGATGGCCCGAATACTGGCCATTGTGGGGGTAGTAGAAGCTCGTTTGAGCAGGACTCATCAACATCTGGTTCTGGTAGTAAACCATACTCTGACGTCCCTGTACCGGTATTGAGTGTTGGATCTGAGATAGGTGACTTGGAGGATAGTATTGAGGGATTTGCTGTTGTTGGACATAATATGCTTGACTTGGCATCGGAATGGCTGCACCAGCATACTGTGGCATGGGGGTCATTTGATGAGCCATGGGCGATGATGTGGTTGAGCTAAATGGTTGACTATGGCCTTGAAGATACTGATTTGAGTGCTGTGGTCGGTAATTAATCGCGAGCAACGTGTTGTTCATCGGCGCTAAATCGAAAGCCTCTTGGTGGCCCTGCGGTTGTTGGTATGCCATCGTAGCTTGCGCTAGAGTTTGCTGCAAGGGGACAGATTGGTAGGGATGTTGGTGTTGGGCTTGTTCCACAGCAGCTGGCGATAATTCACTAGCTTCGTTGGGATTGGAGTTGGAGTTGGTGGACGAAGATGTTGGTGTTTGGCGAGGAGCGTCGAGCTGACCAGCATCCTGTGTCCGGTTTGCCGAATCGCTTTGCATTTGATATTCGCTAGCGATATCCAAGTGCCAAAACTGCGATTTTTGGCCTTCGGCCGTCTAGCCTTTAGCAAAGACTGATTGAATATGTCAAAGTAGACAGAGTTTTTGTTGATGACTAGGTCATACGAATACTCGAAGCCGTGCCCTAGGTCTATCGGTCTATCGGTCTAAACTGAAGTCGAATATTGCTTAGCGTAAAATGAACGGTGGTGCTACTGCAGAACCTCCGCGATTCTTGGTGAAGTGGGTTGGAATAATGGCTGCGTTTCCGATGCGGCTAGGCGATTTGTTTCAACAAAAAGCGGTGCGAAATGCTTGTTCCGTACAAGAAGCCGATGAAGAGCACAGTCGTCAGGTATGTCCTGCCCTTTGATGCGTTCGCGATCTTTGACACCAATGGGTAGAACTGGTATCAAATATCTAAATGCAGATACAATGTGGATTTCCGGAGAGAATGGTCCGAGGTGTGTGAAGAGCTGTTAGGCGATAACGAACATGTGCATAAGCGCCTTGGCCCTGGACTGTGGATGATCGAATTATCCTATCTCCTCAAGACTGAAAAGAAAGCAATGGTCAACTGGCTTACGGGACAACGTAGAATTTAGCAAAGCGCAGATTCAATAAGACAAGACTGCAGCAATGCGACGGACCAGCTGACAGCCAAGTAGGATGCTTGTTTGAAACGGTGGGAATTTGGGGGGCAGATGACGACTTGAAAGAAAAATCCTGAAAACTTTCTAGCCAAGTATTCAATTTTCTCCAAATGTGAGCCCCAGGTAGAGTGCCAGGTGGCGAATATCTCTTGAAAAGTACCCGGACTTGACCTATTTGGAGCTTTGAGCTGCGAAGCAATCAGACTTGCAACGTAGCGCCAGTTTTTTCGATCCTGGCTAGAAATTGAGTTGAATGAGCCACCCCTGTGACCAATTACTGACGACAGGGCTGAGTGACAAGGAGATCTGGTGAATTAACAAGGTGGGATGCGCTAAGGAGGTGTGAGAGGAGTAGTAATGATGCTGGGGCTTGAGATGGATACAGGTATCTGACTGCAATAACCGGACCTGCCAACAGCCCAGAAAAAGACCCAGGATTCCTCGTTACTCGTTACGACGCCTGAAGCCTTTTGACCCTCACAGCCCCACGACGGGCGAGACAACGTCGAGGTTACAGGATAGTCCAGTGTGCGATATGTAATCCAAGAACGCCACTGCAGCTCAGGTATCTCCGACCAAGACTTTTCCAGGGTAGACGACAGAGGATAGTACAAAGAAAAAAAATCAAGACGTGGAGTGAATTCCAAGACAACTCAAAGGAGCGTTTTTTTTTGGTCGGAACGCGATGGTTCTGTCTGGCCTCGATGCCCAAGCTGATTCCGATCTTTTGTCGAGTCTGTAGGGAGTAAGCGCGGCAAGTCTTCTTATCGGTACCCGGCTTATATCCCTTTGTCGGCCCTACGTATATTCAAGCGAAGATGTGTCCATGTATCGTAAAGGTTCTCAAAGTCAGACTGTGGTGTAGATAATTCCCTTTATATTCACTGGCGAGGGAACCATGGCAGAGGCTAACAAGTAGTTGACCAGTGGCTCAGCAACACAGAAATTCGTCGGCAGTGTGCGTCTCAGCAGCTTGGCGGTCCTGTAAGGAGTTCAAAAAACAAGAGAAAGAAGAGGAATTGGGTTCGAGACATTAGCCACCGGGGTGCTTGTGCAAGGGTGTGGCTAGTAAAAGCTGGTCGACGCCAATGACGCTTTGGTTTTGGGTACTGTCTCAAGTCTGCTGAAAGCGAGTAAGAGCAGTCAGTCGATGCCTCTTTCCAACATTGAAACTAGCACAGCAGTCGCTCAAGTGAGTACAAAGATGCATGTACCAAGGTGCCTGGTAATTTCCAAGTTGTCACTTGACTGCCCAAGCTAACAACTCCCAGAAGTAGAGCCACAAGTGCATCTTGGCCTGCATTGTCCATGCGCACACCACCTCTCTAGGTGCCTAGGTAGGTATACGAACCTTGACAGAATACGGCACTCAGCTCTGCAGTTGCGTAATATCTGGATGGCAAACCGACAGAGCTGTGGCGCCTGGACACCTTGTTTTGCCAAGCCTAATGCCCGCCGAACAAATACCTAGGGATTATAAGATGACGCCGACACCAATTGTCACAGAGGCGCCTTCGACAATGCTGAATGGGCACAAATGGCTCTGACCCATAATACAAGCGGACATGGCTTCACGGAGACCGGATGAGCTGGCATGTGTGGCCGGAGCAAGGGTGATGATGGATGGTACTATGCCCTAACAGTCTATCCACCAGACCCCAAAACGCGATTCGGGATGTGGCACTTGCTTTTGGAGCCAAAAAGAGGCATGCCGCGGCGATCAGGTTATCTCTCTCCACCTCCAGGTCAATTTGACGAGAGGCGGCTACGAGCCAAACAGCAGATCTCTTGTCCACGATGCCAATTTTTGTCGCTGCTTCATTGACTTCCGAGCTGGACCTAGGCTTCGCTTAAACCGATTCACTCTAACCATTGTCTAGTCTCCATCGGAATCCAGGGGTTACATTGATGGATATCGCCCGGCTAAACCAAACAGGATGCTGGTGTGCCTGTATCACGAGTCCACTGGGCCCTCAGATAATTACCGGGAGCGTGGCGAGGACCCTGAAAATACTGGCAAGCCATCGTTGACGAGCTACAATGATATACTAAGCTAATTCATCCATTATTTTATTTTATTTTGCCTGCCGAATATCCCGACTCTTCAAAGGAAGCCGAATCAAACAAAATCGACATCATGCTTTGTTCGTGAGGCCACCTGCGATGAGGCGGCCTCCTAGGTGCCATTGGGCAAGTGTGGCCAAATTCGGGCAGAATGATCTTGTACCAGCCTAAACCCCAGAAACTTCCCATGCTCTCTGGAACCTGAACCTCGTTGTGGTACATGGTCATTGACTAAGACTTGATGTGCATAGGACAAGCTTTCTCTAGCAAAACTCGGTACGAGGTAACTTACCCGTCATGTCTTGCTGTGGCCCACATGCCAATCAACTATCTGCAGGGTTTCCATCCATCCCGCGGGCCGAGACAAAAGATCTGCCGACGTTCTAATTGGGCACGGCCTCTAGTCTGTGGAGTTGGACTCACTTTGGGGAGTATGGGATTTCAACTTCACGATTATGCTCGTACATGGGAAATACCGGCCGCCATGACGTATGTCTACACACGGCAATCAGAGTAACCCACCGAGGGCACGTTCAATGCTACCGCTGGGACAAACTCTGCCAAATGCCTTTGATTCTCCTCTCTGCTTGGTTGGTGGCAGGCATTTGGACGGCACGCGCCCTCCAATGCAAGCCCCACGGCTCCAATGCCAAATTTCATATTGGACATATAAACCATATTTCGGGCCAACACGGCCGATAGTCCTCGGCAAGTTCTTCAAAGTAGCAGTGCGTGCCGCGCCAACCCGCATCGATACCTGTAAATGCAGGTTCGCTTCCACCAGCACAATGATATGATGTCATTCGCCCACACAACAAGGGTCCATCTCGTCCGAGTGTACGGAGTAATGAGAAGGAATTTCTCTGGTTTTGCCTGGGACGTAGTCAGTTGGTGCATCGATGCTTGCGCGTAAGTCGTCGGGTGCCAAATCGGTACTTAGTGGGCGTTTTGCCACCACCTTCACTTAGTCTATGGCCCATGCTCGGGGGGCATTCAGGTTATCTGCCGACTGACGGAATGACGTAGGTGCGGCTGTCTTCGCGTCGTTGCTACGACACGGCGCGACCCTGTCCCTGATTTCTGTCGTCATCATCCCAGCAAAATAGCGCCTAAAGGTCTCCAGGAGTTGGGTGTTCGTTAAAGCCAAACATTGCCACTTGCCATTCCACCACTCACATTACGGTGGCTTGTAGGAAGTAAGGAGATGTCTGGTTGCGACTCTTTACAAAAGCGTTCCGATTTGCGTTTGTGTCAATGTATCTTGGCGCGAACAGCAGGGTCTCCTGTCAGTACTACAAGGCACAAATGCGCAGAAATGGAGCACCTTCCCCATTCATCGTCGTCGACAAATGAGAGTCGCCGGGGAATGAGACTTTCTGCGGTTCCATGTCAACTGTGTGGAAACTGAGGGAACATTCTTTAGCTTCCACTTGGCTGACAATGACATCAGTTCGGCATTGATGACTTGCTGCTGGCAAGTCAAGAAAGTTCTTGGAATACGTCAGGAAAATGATCAGAGAACCGCCGAGGTGCGGGGCTACGTCCTAGACAGCCAAAGAAGCCGTCCGCTTCGGTGGAGCAATTCGAGAGGGTATCGAAACGCAAAATCCTACCGGGTAGGTTGAGAAGTTGGGAGAGTCTGGGCAACACGGCCTACCCCATCAATCAAGCAAGTAAACGGACTCTGGATGGCCCGGCCATTGTCTGTCAGACTAGGCTCGTAGCAATGATTCAGCATTTGGCTTTTATGAATAAGTTCATACTACCATGTTTGACTGTATTTGCGTCGTCAGTTACTTGTTCTATTGGCCCTGCGAAGAAAACGTCGAGGTACAGTTCGTGGCAAAATATAGTTGCCTATCAAGACGTATACACTTACATTATGTAGTATATTATCGTATAGGTTGGGTTAACCAGGTACGTGACCTGTCTAAATACCCGTCGCGTCACACTGTAACTAGTTATACGTTTCCAGATTGAAGCGTTGAACAAGTCGAATACACATAGGTCAATGGCTTTATACACTGAATGGAAAATTCGACGACTCGGAACCCGAATTGGCTGTTCACATGGGCCGTTGCAATATGTAAAATCTCCGTCCTGGGATCTGTGTCAGTCAGACAATAATTTTTAAAATTATCTTGGGTAAGTTGAACAATCGTCAGTGGTGCTTGACATGACCTCGCTCACGCAGGCGGCCCTGAGAGCGATTCCAACTGGGAACTCGTACAAATGTGGCCAAATCAAGCCACTGATTCGGGCTGCTATATTTTATATTTATCT